CTGATTCTCCCCAGTCAGCCTCCCAAATAGCTGGGAATACAGGTGCATGCCACTATGCCCAGATGAGGTATAATTTGAGTAAAGAATATATGTAACTCCAACCAATCAAGATATAGAATGTCCCCAGCACCCCAGAAACTTCTCTTACACTCTTTCCTAGTTGATAGCCTCCTCAAAATACTCACTATTCTGACCTCCATCACCTTAGCTTTACCTGTATTTAAACTTTGTATAAATGGAATCATATTGTAATAGAACCATGCAGCTGGTTTCTTTCATCTAATATAACATCTTTGAGATTCATCTATTGGATGTAACTATAGTTCATTCATTTTGATCATTGTTTAATAGTTCATTATTGAATAAACCACAGTTTTTATCCAAAAAAATCTACTGTGATAGATATTTAGGTTGTTTTTACTTTTTGGCTCTTATGAATAACCCTGAAGTTTACTTATGAAAAATTGCAATAAAAATTTCCACACATCTGGTGAACATAAGTTTTTAGAGCTCTTAAACATACCTAAGAGTGAATTTGCTGAGTCATTGGAGATCATACATTTCACCTCAGTTAATAACTGCCACCAGACCAGGTGGTATAAGCAAAAATATAACACAGGGCCGGGCGCGGTGGCTCAAGCCTGTAATCCCAGCACTTTGGGAGGCCGAGGCGGGTGGATCACGAGGTCAAGAGATCGAGACCATCCTGGTCAACATGGTGAAATCCCGTCTCTACTAAAAATACAAAAAATGAGCTGGGCATGGTGGCTCGTGCCTGTAATCCCAGCTACTCAGGAGGCTGAGGCAGGAGAATTGCCTGAACCCAGGAGGTGGAGGTTGCAGTGAGCCGAGATCGCGCCATTGCACTCCAGCCTGGGTAACAAGAGCGAAACTCCGTCTCAAAAAAAAAAAAAAAAAAAAAAAAAAAAAAAAAAAAAAAAAATATATATATATATATATATATATATATATATAAACACAATTATCATTAATATCTTTTTCTTTTTTTATGTTTTAGAGATGTTGCCCAGGCTGGTCTTGAACTCCTGGGCTCAAGCGATCTGCTGCCTCAGCCTCCCAAAGTGCTGGGATTACAGGCATAAGCCACCATGTCCAGCTAATAACAATTTTTAATATCCTCTAATTCCCAGCAATAATCCATTTTCCCTGATTGTCTCAAAAATGTCTTTTTACAGGTGGTTTATTCTAAGCATGACCTAAACAAGGTCCTCATGCTGCATTTAATGACATGTCTCTTAAGTCTGTGTCAAATGCAGTTTTTCAGAATGCTTGTACCAATTTACCCTTTACTAGCAGCATATGAGAATACCACCTGTTCTACGTCACACTCAATAAATGTGAACCATTATGACAATAGTAACTCTAATTATTTGGTGAGTCAGAGGAGGAAAGCTAAAATTATACTGGGTTTTGCCTGGGGTGACTGAGTAGGTGGTGATGCTTCAGCGGGGAGGTGGACAAGCAATAATGAGCTTTTGGTGTCTGCATGGAAACACATCTACTTGGACATATCATCTGAAGCCCAGGGGAAAGTGCAGGGCAGAGGCAGTGATATGGGTGGATAAAGATGTAAGACCAGATGGGATCACACTGAGCCAACAGAGAATTTGTAACCAAATAGCCTAGCCTGAAAATGCACTAAAACCTTTTTCTCTTTTTTCTGTTTTTCTCCCTAGTCTCAAGATACAACCTTGAAGCTTACTGCAGATACTATTGTTTTCTTCTCCTTCATCTTAAAATATAGCCTTGAAATTCACATTCTTTGAAACACCATACCCCTCCCTTTCTCACCGTACACTTCATTACACCATGCACATTTATCTAACTATATGCTGGTATCTAATTATGTGATTATGGAGAAATTCCAGGAGCTGATCTTGAAACAGACCAAGCATAGGGACCCAGAAGCAAAATTCCAGAAATTCAAGGCAGTTAGTCAACAACCTGGCCATTGTTGAGATGACGCCAGCCCATGCTCCAAGTGGACCACAGCTCAAGATAGCCACTGGAACAAGACACGCAGACCTTGTACTCAGCACCCCCTCACACGCCTCCCACACCAAGTTCCACTTTTTAAGTCCCCCTCCCCAGCCCAAAATTTGAAGTGGTTACTTTGGATGTGAATCCAGCCATTTCCCCATTGCAAGTTTTGGTAAATAATGTCACCTTCTTTCTATCATACCTTACTCTTGTTATTGGATTCTGCAAGCAGCAGAGACGTGCATTCGTTACAAGTTCAAAGGCCAGGTGGTTCATTTAAATAGAATAGGGGCCTAAGCTTCTGTATTTTTTCACATGTCCCCTGCATGGTTTTGACACACTTCAGTGTTTGAGCGCCACTGATGAAAGCAGTGGGTTAAGGAAGGAACCCAAGAAAGCAGTGACATTTTAAGAGGAAACAGAAAGAAGAACCTTCTATGACATAGGTTCAAATTAAGAGAAGAGAACCAGGTGAATGTACAATCTTGGAAGACACAGAAGTAGGGTTTTATGGAATGGGAGTTCAACTGTGTCAAATCAGCAGAGTTTTAATAAAAATGATACTAATAAAATAATGATCACAACAGCACCGCCTAGTGGAACCTTCTGGGAGATGTAATCAGCCGTCCTCTCTGTTGCTCCTCTTGCCTGGAATCTAATCCAAACAGGAGGACAAGCCATTGGTCAGTGCACTTGCAGAGATTTCATTACATATCTGTGTCCTACAAGTTTCATTCCTGAGGTCTTTACCTTTCTCCACAAGTAGACCCAAAGTTTGTGTCTAGTTTGTTATTTGCAATGTTATACCCTACTTCATGTGGTTTTTTTAGATGCTGTCTCACTCTGTCGCCCAGGCTGGAGTGCAGTGGCACGATCCTGGCTCACTTGCAACCTCTGCCTCCTGAGTTCAAGCAATTTTCCTGCCTCAGCCTCTTAAGTGGCTCAGATTGCAGGTGCCCACCACCACACCTGGCTAAATTTTGTATTTTTAGCAGGGACAGGGTTTCACCATGTTGGTCAGGCTGGTTTTGAACCCCTGATCCACCTGCCTCAGCTTCCCAAAGTACTGGGATTACAGGCGTGAGCCACCATGCCTGGCTTACTTCATCTTAAATATTTAATTTGGGGCCTTTTCAAACATAGCTTGAATCTTTTTTGCATATTTGTTTGCTTTAGTAATGTAAATGTGATCTCATACTGGGTAGAATTATCTTACTTGTTGCTCCTTGGAAAAACTTCGATGATCCCTGCCAGGCGAGGTATCAGAGCCCTGGCAATGGAAAGTGGTTGGCTTGCAGGTAGTAAAAAGGTAATTTACAGTACGTTTGTAAAAAGAAAGTTTTGTTAGATAGAAAGAACACAGCAGAAGAGTTCAGTGGGGCACTTCGGCAAGAGACGACTGAGCGTGCTGGTGGGTTTTCCTTAGGGGTATGAATGAACCTTAAAGCGGGGGTTTAAGGGTAATTTGGACCACACTAGCAACATAGGTCATGAAAAATGATCACATTTGTAGACATTTTGGTGCTTTGATGTCAGCAAGGATTGCACAATGACTTTCCACGTGCATGCATTCTGGAGATGTATAGAAATTCTAGTTACTTATAAATTTAGGGGAAAGAAGTCTGGTACCAGATGCCAACTTTCAATAATAGGGAAGTCTAATTACTTACGAATTCCTCAGACAAGGAGTTTTGCCTCTGGATGGTCTGCTTGATAGCCACCAGGTGATCTTTTCTCCCATCTATCATTATTAGCATCGTCATTTTTGAACCAGACCATATTCTGGCATCAAGAGGGAAGAAAAATTAACAATCTTCAACCATCTAAAGGGCCTGACTCTGTCCTGAATATCACATAGCACTCTGAGAAGCAGCTACATTTACATAGCACAATGGTGACATCTAGTGTCGGCCGGATAAATTTCAGCTAGCTCTGCAATTTATCTGAAATTAAAGCACAGGGTCTCAGTGCCTCAGAATCTTCGCCTCAACAGCATTCAGGGCCAAGAAATGTTTCCTTGTAATTTGCCTTTGGATTTTCTTAACAATTGCTCTTTAATTTTGTACATTCTTGAGTTTAAAATTAATGTACAATAGACCAGAGACGTTTAGAGTGTACAATGTAATGAGTTTTGACCAGCAGAGAACAAAATAGAAAAGCAAACAAACAAAAAACCCTTGTCCACATACAGCTTACATTCTTAATGGCCAAAATTATGTCACATGTCTGCTCCTGACAGCAGAGGCATCTGGAAGGCAAGTTTTTTACTTTCTTGCTTCCAGAGTAGGAAGAAGATGGAAAGGAGGTTGCATCAGCCCATCCACAATTCCTGACTCAGTGAGACTTGAAAGCACTTCCATAATTGGAATTATGGAAGTGCTTACATACAACAGTTAAGGTTAAAGCATGTTTCAGAAGTATTGACATGCATGTTCTTTATATCAGCCCTTTTTATTATTACTACTATTATTAACTTAGATGCTTTCATATTTGATGGCATGTGAATATATCCTTTGGCACAAGACCTTGATTCACAGAGGATCTCCAGTCAATGATAGATCTTATCTTGGCACCAATAATGTACACCCTGGGGTTTTCTAGTGTTGATTAGACCTTTCATTAGTTTGCATACCATGTCCACTGTAAAGGTTCTCTGTATGCTACAAGTTTGTCTGGCTTTGCTAGGTCTCAAGTTGTTCACAGACTGTTTGTTTTCCAGACTCCCCTTGATGGAAAGAAACAGGTATCTACAAGGTAGGATGAGTGGTCCACTCATCTGGCTCAGAATATATCCATTCTTACTGAGTAAACATTATATCACAGTTTATAAAAATGTACTCCAGGAGGCTGAGGCAGGAGAATTGCCTGAACCCAGGAGGCGGAGGTTGCGGTGAGCCGAGACCGCGCCATTGCACTCCAGCCTAGGTAACAAGAGCAAAACTCTATCTCAAAAAAAAAAAAAAAAAAAGTACTCCAAAATTCCTGGGACTTACCACCAGGGTACACTTCACAAGGGAAAATCCATCAGAGCACTGGTTCTCAAACTTGGCTGCACATTGGGATCACCTAGGAAGTTTTTAAAAAATAAAATAAAAACATATTGCCTAAGATCCACCCCCAAAACTGTGATTCTCAACTAGGTGATTTGCCCCACTACTAGAAATACATGGATATGTCTTTTGGTCAGTACAAATAGGTAAGTGTGCTACTGGCATCTAGTGGCTAGAGCCCAAGGATGCATTTAAACAACCCACAATGACAGGACAGCTCCTATAGCAAAGAATTATCTCATTCCAAATGTCTGTAGTGCCAAGGTGGAGAAACTCTGTCCAAAGAGGCATATGGAATCAGCCTGGGCATGAGATTTTTAAAACCTCCCCAGGTGAAGTTTGAGAACCACTGCTAGAGACCTGTTCCTAGAGAATATTCAATTATATGGCTAAGTTACTCTCAACCCCATGCCATTGAGCTCAAACTGAAAATTTCCATCTCTTCTTATTTGATTTGGGAGTTGTTTGTTTGGGAGGTGAGGGTGGTTGGAAGGAGGAAGAGCTAGTTGCTTCTGTGAGAAAGCCTAGGTTTCCCACAGCATGCTCGAATGGGCATCTCTACAAATAGAAGTCTTGTTGTTATTATTCACCTTGTGAGTTGGCCTCCCTGGCATAGCTCAGGAGGATTGTTAACCACAGTCAAACACACACGTCCTGGAGTACAGGTCACTCAAAATTACATGTGGGAGAAGCAACACCTTTGCAAATGAACACTCCCTGATGTTTCACAGAATGACAACTTCTCCCACTGCAGGACCTCCCAGGAAGGACTACTGCAGTTGTGAAATTAGGGAGAACCGGTCACATAGAATGCAATGTGAATGATGCTCCCAGGCTTCATCATGGCCCTCAAAGTAAATTTTACATTCACCAGAATGCCTAGATTTTAAATCAGCCCCATACACACACACAAACACACACACACACACACACACACACACAGGTTCAAGTGATTCTCCTACCTCAGCCTCCCAAGTAGCTGGGACTACAGGCACACGCCACCATACCCAGCTAATTTTTGTATTTTTAATACAGACAGGATTTAACCATGTTGGCCAGGATAGTGTAACATGGTGAAATCTCTTGACCTCATGATCCTCCCAGCTCAAGTTCTGGGATTACAGGCATGAGCCACCATGCCCAGCCATATATATATATATGTATGGAGAGAGAGAGAAAGAGAGACAGTGTCTCACTCTATTGACCAGGCTGGAGAGTGCAGCGACACCATCATCACTCACTGTAGCCTTGGCCTGCTTGTCTAAAGCAGTCCCCCTGCCTCCGCCTTGTGAGTGGCTAGGACTACAGGTGCATGCCACCATGCCTGGCTAATTTTTTAATTTTTTTGTAGAGCCAGGGTTTCACCATGTTGCCCATGCTAGTCTCAAACTCCTGGCATTAAGTGATCCTCCCGAAGTGCTGGGATTACAGGCATGAGCCACCACACCTGGCCCAGTCCAGGCTACATGAAAATATACCACTAGCTCTCCATACGTATTTCACCATTTATTTGTTATCTCAGATGATGCAAGGAAAATATATGTTACTATATACTATAGATATAAAATGTTACTATATACCATATATGTATAATATTATATATACTATATGTACACATGTGTATATTTATAGATAATATCTAAAATTTGTAACGCAAATCGGGTCATATTACACAAGCCAAGCTACAAAATGCTTTTTTCACTTAGCGCTCCATATTACTCACTTTGCATGTTCAGGCGTGCAGATACATGTTATTCCTCTAACAGCTGCAAAATATTACATTGCATGGACTTGATTTTAAGGAATAGCCACATATTAGATGTGAATGAACACAGGCATCTCCTGAGTCCCATAACCTGACACTTAAAGGACAAAAAGGATGCAGATTCACAAGGACAAGAGAGTGAGAAAGGAGACAAAAGCAGATGGCAGGTGTTCATACAGTTTGTGAAGATGGAAAAGGATGGAGAAGCGGTAACCACAAAAAGCTTTGCCTGGGAATGGAACCGGGAGGAGTGCAGTCAGGACAATGGGTGATACCAGGAAGCGATCTGGTTCACCCAGTGGAAGGGCTGAGGTATCGGGCAACAGAGACTCCACAAGGCAGAGGCGAGCCATGTGACAAATGTGTAAGGAACAACTGGACTGGCCAATCCCATTCCTGCCCGCAAAGCCCAGAGACCTCTCCTCCCAAACTGCATAGCACAGGAGCTTTATTCTCTAGGGAGAAAACAAGCAGAGGGCCAGATGGAGGCAGCGGATTTAACATAAGGAGATGATTAACAGTGCATGCTGAACATACAGACATCACGAGGCCTTGCCACTGCCCCAGCCCCATTCTCCCACCTGGCTCTCAAATCACTATCAAACAGGCTTATACCCTCTGCACAGGAACCTTAGTGGCAATGAATAACCCCAGATAAACCTACAAAACATCTGGGGTAAGGATCTATCTGCAAAAAAATGCCATAGTCTCACCAATTCTTCTTTACCACAGAGGACTGGGTGTGATTCTAGGATGTCAAACACAGCCATGCCTCTAGGTAGCACAAACATAATAGAAATGACAAGGAAGAAGAGAATTTCTAGAAATAATGATCACAAGTATATTTAGCACTAAAACTAGTGCTCCAAGGGACACACTGGTAGGAAGTCATGGAGAACCAGGGATGATTTCAGACTGAGCTGGACAGGGATGAAAACGGAGCAGGAGCAGCACCCAGGATGTCTACCTCTTAATTCCCATCAAGGAGACAAGGGGGTCTTGACAGAGTTATCATGGATCAGAGATCAACAGTGACCAACGTGATTCAGCAGACGCCTTGGTGTACCTACTATGCGCCAGATTCTGTGTCAGGGAACACATAGGGATATAGAAGTAGGATCTGTCCAACGATGTAGCAGTGCATCTGGGGAGATTGCCACTCATGACGTTCCCTGCTTTCCTAGAGTCCGGAGACTCTCCCCTTCCTACTTTCACAGCTCTTTGCCCAGCCACAAATCCATCTGCCTACACGCTTCCTAGTTCCCTTACTTTCCTCCAGCCTGACAGAGAAGTGTCTTTCCCAGTGCACTCCCACCAAAGAATATCTGCGAGGATCACCACTGAGGGTCCCTTCTGCTTGTCATGACAAACCAACAAACCAGCATGGGAAACACTCACTATGTGCAAGGACTTACTTTGGCATTCAAATTTCATTATACAGGATAAAGAAAATGTGGTTCATAGCCGGGTGCGGTGGCTCAAGCCTGTAATCCCAGCACTTTGGGAGGCCGAGGTGGGTGGATCACGAGGTCAAGAGATCGAGACCATCCCGGTCAACATAGTGAAACCCCGTCTCTACTAAAAATACAAAAAATTAGCTGGGCATGGTGGTGCGTGCCTGTAATCCCAGCTACTCAGGAGGCTGAGGCAGGAGAATTGCCTGAACCCAGGAGGCGGAGGTTGCGGTGAGCCGAGATCGCGCCATTGCACTCCAGCCTGGGTAACAAGAGCCAAACTCTGTCTCAAAAAAAAAAAAAAAAAGAAAATGTGGTTCATATATACCATGGAATACTACACAGCCATAAATAAGAATGAGATCATGTCTTTTGCAACAACATAGATAGAGCTACAGGCCCTTATCCTAAGCAGATTAACACAGGGACAGAAAACCAAATACCACGGGTTCTCACTCCTAAGTGGGGGCTCAACAGTGAGTACACAAGGACACAAAGAAGGGAAAAGCAGACACCGGAACCTACTTGAGGGTGGCGGGTGGGAGTGTGAGGATAGGAAAACCACCTATCGGGTACTCTGCTGATCACCTGGACGACAAAATTATCTGTACACCAACCCCCTGTGACACACAATTTACCTCTCTAACAAACCTGCACATGTACCCATGAACCTAAAATAGAAATTTTAAAAGAAAAAACAAATTTTATCATAGAGGCTTGAAACCTTGGCATTTATAAAAATGTCTTCAAAACAAAGGAGGACTAATTCAGCAGATAGGAGAGAATGCTGATTTTGCTCGTAACACCCTACTAAAAGGGAAACTGGTTTTAAAAGTTTTTTTTAGCTCTGCACTTGTAGAAGAGAGACGTGTTCCTCAGACAAACTCACCTGAAGCCTTGGGGTCAGCATGATCCACTGGAGAACTGTGGGGTACTTTGGACAAGATCTTCACAGTGGCTTAGGTTCACAGCCAACCTCTTTTTGTTTTCATACCTATTAAAACAGTTTCAGGAAAAAAATTAGATAGTCATGGCCAACAAGCACATGAAAAGATGCTCAATGTCATTAGTCATTAGGGACATGCAAATCAAAACCAAAATGAGGCCGGATACAGCAGCTCATGCCTGTAATCCCAGCACTTTGGGAGGCCGAGGCGGGTAGACGACCTGAGGTCAGGAGTTTGAGACCAGTCTGGCCAACATGATGAAACCCCGTCTCTACTAAAAATAAAAAAATAAAATAAAATAAAAGGCCAGGCATGGTGGCGGATACCTGTATCCCAGCTAATTGGGAAGTTAAGGCAGTAGAATCACTTGAACCAGGGAGCTGGAAGTTGCAGTGAGCAGAGATCACACCACTGCACTCCAGCCTGGGCAACAGAGTGAGACTCTGTCTCAAAAAAAAAAAAAAAAAATGCGATACTAGTTGACACCCACTAGGTTAGCCATAACTAGAATGGAAAATAACGTTGTGGAGAATGTGGAGAAATTAGAACCCTTGAGCATAGCTGCTGGAAATGTAAAATAGTGCAGTCACTGTGGGAAAGTTTGGTGGTTCCTCAAAAAGTTAAGCATAAAATCAACAGCAATTCCACTGCTAGGTGTATAGTAGTCCCCCCTTATCCTCAGGGGATAGGTTCCAAGACTCAACAGTGAATACCTGACATCATGCATAGTACCAAATCCTATGTACACCATGTTTTTTTTCCTATACATACATACCTAAGATAAGGTTTAATTTATAAATTAGGCACAGTAAGAGATTAACAATAACAATGATAAAACAGAACCATCATAATAACCTGCCAGCATCACTACTCTTGCATTTTTGGGTCATTAAATAAGGGTTATTTGAACACAAGCTTTGCAATGTGATGACAGTCCATCTGATATCTGAAACAGCTACCAAGTGACTGACAGGTAGGTAGCATCAACAGTGTGGATACGCTGAACAAAGGTGTGACTCATGACCCAGGCAGGACAGGGTGGGACAGGGAGAGGTTGCATCGTATTATATGCAACTGAACATGCAATGGAACAGAATGACATGCAACTGAACACCGGTGAATTGTTTACTTCTGGAATTTTCCGTTTAATATTTTCAGGCCATGAATGACCAAGGATAACTGAAATAGAAGAAAGGGGGAATACTGTGTACCCAAAAGAACTGAAAAGAGGTATTGAAACAAATACCTTGTAGAGGAATGTATGTTGCAGCAGCACCAGTCTCAATACCGAAAAGATGGAAACAGCCCAAATCCCCATCAATTGACAAATAAATGCAATGTGGTGTGTTCTCAGACAATTGAATATTATTCAGCCATAAAGAGGAATGAAATACTGAATCATGCTACAACGCAATGAACCTTGAAAATGTTATGCTAAGTGAAAGAAGACAGACAGAAAGGGCCACATGCTGCATGATTTCACTTCCAAAACATTCAGAACAAACAAATCTATAAAGACAGAAAACAAGCCGTGGCAGGGGGTGTGGGGTGACAGAATGGAGAGTGACTGTTTTGTGGGTACAGAGTTTCCTTTTGAGGTGATAAAAATGTCCCCAAAATAAATAGAGGTCGTGGTTGCACAACATTGTGAATGTACTAAAAGTCACTGAATTGTAATCCTGGAAATGGCTAATGGTTAATTTTATGTTATGTGAATTTTACTCAATTAAAAAAAATCCATAAAATAAACCCAGACCCCCATGTTTTTAGCTAATATTTAACATTTTCAAATATAAGTGTAAATCATTGCAAATGATGTAATTTAAAATAAAACTGTTGCATCATTCATTTAAATACAGCCATATAGTCTTAATCTACTATTAACTTCAGACTTGATCACCTATTTTTAAAAACATATGAACAACCCCTTCTTTAACTGTCATTTTATATCATTCCTTTTCCTCCGTGGAATTATGTTTCCATTACACCTCTCCACAAAGGTTTAACCTTAGGTTTGAAAGTCTTCTCCCAATTATCTTATCATATATAAAATATGTATTTAATTCAAATTAGAAACTTCTGAAAACTGTACTGACACCAAAGTCTTCAAATAGTGGAAACTTATTCTGGATTGGTTATTATCATTGGTATTAGTATATGACAAATCAAAACAACATAAATATTACAAGGTTTGATAAATAGCATAAATACTTATTAAACACAAAAAGAAAAAATTGTTAAAAATACAGACGTTTTAATAGGTTGGGTGGGGCTTTTTTTCTGTTTGTTCACACATTCATGGATAAATATTACGCTAGAATGAGAGTTCAGCGTAAACTTTTTTTTTCTTTTGAGACAGAGTCTCACTCTGTCACCAGGCTGGAGTGCAGTGGCACGATCTCAGCTCATTGCAACCTCCACCTTCTGGATTTAAGCAATTATCCTGCCTCAGACTTCTAAGTAGCTGGGACTACAGGCACATGCCACCATCCATGCCCAGTTAAGTTTTGTATTTTTAGTAGAGATGGGATTTCTACTAAATGTTGTAGATGTTGGCCAGGATGGTCTCAATCTCTTGACCTCATGATCTGCCCAGGAGTTGGAGGCTATAGTACTATAGTAAGCTATAATTGTGCCACTGTACTGTACTCCTGCCTGGGTGGTGACTCACAAGACCCTGTCTCAAAAAAAAAAAAAAAAAAAAAAAACCTGGTATAATTCCATGACGAGTCTCAAAATTAATAATTAATATAATTAACGATAGTTCCTGAAGTTCTTTGACTATACTATTTTCCTGGGCTCAAGTAATTCTCCCGCCTCAGCCTCCCAAGTAGCTAGGACTACAGTCATACACCACCATGCCCCATTAAATAGTTTTATTTTTATTTTTGTAGAGATAGGTCTTACTGTGTTGTGCATGCTAGCCTTGAACTCCCAGCCTCAAATAATCTTCATGCCTCAGCCTCCCAAAGCACTAAGATTACAGTGCATCAGCCTGCTAATATTCTTTGACTTAAGATACACCTTGTTAAAAATGTGATATACTCAGAAAATATTGAAAACTCAAAATATTCCTATCAAACCATCATCACCAATTTATTTTTTCAATAAAAATATTTTTATCTCATCCTATGTTTTAAATACATTCTTGTTAAAAAGCCTTAGAAACTTATTTCATTTCACCTGTGAAAAATACCCACCACATAACCTAACTGGACACTCCGATTCTTATTTTCAAACTGATAACATCATCAGAATTAATTTCTCTCTGACTTTTAAAATTCAAATAATTGTGTGTCTTAGTCTGTTTGTACTGCTTTAAAGGAATACCTGAGGCTGGGTAATTTGCAAAAAAAAGAGGTTTATTTGGCTCACAGCTCTGAAGGCTGGACAAGAAGCAGGGTGCCAGCATCAGCATCTGGTGAGGGCTTCAGGCTGCTTCCAGTCATGGCAGAAAGCAAAGCGGAGCTGGCATGTGCAGAGGTCGCATGATGAGAAAGGAAGCAAGAGAAAAAAGAGGAAGATGCCAAGCTTTTTTTAACAATCAGCTCTTGCAGAAACCCATTGGTCGAGAACTCACTCATTACTGTGAGGATGGCACCAAGCTATTCATGAGAGATCTGCCAAACACCTCTTCTTAGACCCCACCTCCAACACTGGGGATCAAATTTCAACATGAGATTTGGAGGGGAAATGTACTATACCCATGTGTTAATAGGCAATATTAAGTAATATTATTAAAATTACTGAGAAGACCAGGCATGGTGGCTCATGCCTGTAATCCCAGCACTTTGGGAGGCCAAGGTGGGTGGATCACCTGAGGTCAGGAGTCCAAGACCAGCCTGGCCAACACAACAAAACCCTGTCTCTACTAAAAATACAAAAAAAAATTAGCCAGGCATGGTGGTAGGCACCTATAATCCCAGCTACTCAGGAGGCTGAGGTAGGAGAATCTCTTGAACCCGGGAGACAGAGGTTGCAGTGAGCTGAGATTGCACCATTGCACTCCAGCCTGGGCAACAGAGCAATACTCTGTCTCAAAAAAAAAAAAAAACAACAACAACAACAAAAAAAAACACTGAGAAATAAATTATGGAACACATCTTGTAAGATACATTACCAAAAGGAGAGCTTAGCCAGGTGAGGTGGTGTACACCTGTATTCCTAGCTACTTGAGGGGCTGAGGTGGTAGGATCACTGGAGCCCAGAAGGTCAAGGCTGCAGTGAGCTGAGATCATGCCTGGGCAAGAGAGTGAGACCTTGTCTCAAAAAAAATAGAAATAAAAAAGTAGGAGGGATGTAAACTAAAAATAAAATTCTAAACCCCTGCACCATATTAGGCCATTCTTGTGTTGCTATAAAGGAATGCTTGAGACTGCGTAATATGTGAATAATAAGAGGTTTAACTGGCTCACAGTTCTGCAGGCTGTAGAGGAAGCATGGTGCTGGCATCTGCTCAACTTCTGGTGAGGCTTCAGGAAGCTTATAATCATGGTGGAAGGCAAAGCAGGAGGAGGTATGTCACATGGTGAGAGTGTATGCAAGAGAGAGAGGGGAGATGCCACACTCTTTTTTTTGAGACGGAATTTCACTCGTTACCCAGGCTGGAGTGCAATGGCGCGATCTCAGCTCACCGCAACCTCCGCCTCCTGAGATCAGGCAATTCTCCCACCTCAGCCTCCTGAGTAGCTGGGATTACAGGCACGTGCCACCATGTCCAGCTAATTTTTTGTATTTTTAGTACAGGCAGGGTTTCACCATGTTGACCAGGATGGTCTCAATCTCTTGACCTCATGATCCACCCACCTCGGCCTCCCAAAGTGCTGGGATTACAGGTGTGAGCCACTGTGCCCGGCCCGATGCCACACTTAAACCACCAGATCTCATGAGAACTCACTCACTATGGAAAGGACAGCACCAAGCTATTCATGAGGGATCCACCCCTATAACCTGAATACCTCCCCCAGGCCCCACCTTCACCATCAGGAATCACATTTTGACATGAGATTTGGAGGGGAAAAACATCCAAGCTATATCACCCCCAGCAGCTGAACAAACCCAGAGAAATCTTAAAAACTGAGTTTTCAGTAATGATGGAACAAGAGGTCAGACATGCCTCATTATATCCTGTCCCTTTTGCAATTTATTCAAACTAATCAGCATTAATATTAAGATAGAGATCATAAGACTGACAGAATAGACTCTTTGGGGCAATAAGATACCAAATTATAAACAGTACCTAAAGCTGTGCCAGGAGGATTAAGTCATACACTCCTACACTTAAAGAATCAACTATGTTCAAACTGACACAAGGTTTTTCTTTTTCTCTAGCAGCTAAACAAGCACTGGTCTCAAAATAAGCAATGTTAAAATAATCTGCAGCTCATCCACCTCCGGGCACCAACTTACTGAGTTCACCCATTCCACAAGCCGTAACTACAGCTTTGATTGGACAAGAAACTGATTGTAGTAACTTTCTTTTTTTCTTTTTTCTTTTTTTTTTTATTTTAGGTTTTGGGGTACACGTGATGAACATGCAAGATTGTTGCATAGGTACACACATGGCAGTGTGGTTTGCTGCCTTCCGTCCCCTCACCTGCATCTGTCATTTCTCCCCATGCTCTCTCTTCCCACCTCCCCAACCCCCCACCCCTCCCCCATTTCCCCCCAACGGACCCCAGTGTGTAGTGCTCCCCTCCCTGTGTCCATGTGTTCTCATTGTTCAACACCTGCCTATGAGTGAGAATATACGGTGTTTGATTTTCTGCTCTTGTGTCATTTTGCTGAGAATGACGGTTTCCAGGTTCATCCATGTCCCTACAAAGGACGTGAACTCATCGTTTTTGATGGCTGCCTTCATTTCATTGTTTATCCAGTCAACATTCAAGAGCAAGTTGTTCAGTTTCCATGAAGCTGTGCGGTTCTGAGTTAGTTTCTGCATTCTGAGTTCTAACTCGATTGCACTGTGGTCTGAGAGACTGTTAAGATTTCTGTTCTTTTGCATTTGCTGAGGAGTGATTTATTGCCAAATATGTGGTCAATTTTAGAGTAGGTGTGATGTGGTGCTGAGAAGAATGTATATTCTGTGGATTTGGGGTGGAGAGTTCTGTAAATGTCTATTAGGTTTGCTTGTTCCAGGTCTGTATTCAGGTCCTGGATATCCTTGTTGATTTTCTGTCTGGTTGATCTGTCTAATATTGACAATGGTGTGTTAAAGTCTCCCACTATTATTGTGTGGGAGTCTAAGTCTCTTTGTAAGTCATTAAGAATTTGCCTTATGTATCTGGGTGCTCCTGTATTGGGTGCGTATATATTTAGGATCGTTAGCTCTTCTTGTTGCAGTGATCCTTTTACCATTATGTAATGTCCTTCTTTGTCTCTTTTGATCTTTGTTGCTTTAAAGTCTATTTTATCAGAGATGAGAATTGCAACTCCTGCCTTTTTTTGCTCTCCATTTGCTTGGTAGATCTTCCTCCATCCCTTTATTTTGAGCCTTTGTGTATCCTTGCATGTAAGATGGGTTTCCTGGATACAGCACACTGATGGGTTTTGGCTTTTTATCCAATTTGCCAGTCTGTGTCTTTTGATTGGGGCATTTAGTCCATTGACATTTAGGGATAGTATTGTTATGTGTGAATTTGATGCTGTCATTTTGATGCTACCTGGCTGTTTTGTTGGTTAGTTGATACAGATTCTTGATTGTGTTGATGCTCTTTTACCATTTGGTGTGTTTTTGGAGTGGCTGGTACTGGTTGTTCCTTTATATGTGTAGAGCCTCTTTCAGGAGTTCTTGTAGAGCAGGTTTGGTGGTGATGAAATCTCTGAGTGCTTGCTTGATCACAAAGAATTTTATTTTTCCTTCACTTATGAAGCTTAGTTTGGCTGGATAGGAGATTCTGGGTTGAAAGTTCTTTTCTTTAAGGATGTTGAATATTGGCCCCCAATCTCTTCTGGCTTGTAGGGTTTCTGCTGAGAGATCTGCTGTGAGTCTAATGGGCTTCCCTTTGTGGGTAAACCGACCTTTCTCTCTGGCTGCCCTTAGCATTTTCTCTTTCATTTCAACCCTGGTGAATCTGACGATTATGTGCCTTGGGGTTGCTCTTCTTGAGGAATATCTTTGTGGTGTTCTCTGTATTTCCTGGATTTGAATATTGGTCTGCCTTGCTAGGTTGGGGAAGTTTTCCTGGATAATATCCTGAAGAGTATTTTCCAGCTTGGATTCAGTCTCTTCATCACATTCAGGTACACCTATCAGACGTAGATTAGGTCTTTTCACATAGTCCCACATTTCTTGAAGATTTTGTTCATTCCTTTTTGCGCTTTTTTCTCTGTTCTTGCCTTCTCTTTTTATTTCATTGAGTTGATCTTCGACCTCTGATATCCTTTCTTCTGCTTGGTCAACTCGGCTCTTGAAGCTTGTGCATGCTTCACGAAGTTCTCGTGTTGCATTTTTCAGCTCCATCAATTCACTTATACTCCACTCTATGCTGTCCATTCTCTTTAGCAATTCGTCCAATCTTTTTTCAAGGTTCCTATTTTCTTTGCGATGGGTTAGAACATGTTCTTTTAGCTCACTGTAGTTTCTTACTACCCACCTTCTGAAGTCTGATTCTGTCATTTCATCACCCTCCTTCTCCATCCGGTCTGGTTCCCTTGCTGGTGAGGAGTTACGATCCCTTTTAGGAGGAGAGGTGTTCTGGTTTCGGGAGTTTTCATCCTTTTTGCGCTGGTTTCTTCCCATTTTTGTGGGTTTATCCACCTGTTGTCTGTCTCTGTCCCAGGGAGTTGGAGCTTTATGAGTTTCCGTTGCACTACTGCCTTTTTTGATTTTTCTTTCAGGTCTGACCCGCCCAGCTAGCAGCACGCCTAACCACTGCCTGCCCGCAGGGGCTTTGCTGAGCTGCTGTGGGCTCTGCCCAGCTGCCCTGAGCTCTTCCCTGTAGTCCTTTTTATATGGGCGTAGTTAGAACTGTCTCGGCAACGGTGGCCCCGCCTCTGTTATGGCGGACTGTTGTGGCAGGTTGCCTCGGCAACGGCGGGTTGCCTCGGCAACGGCAGCCTGCCTCCCTAGCGATGGAGAGTCTCAGTAATGGCGGAAGCCCCTCCCCCACGGAGCCGGACCGTCCCGGTTCAGCTGTGCTTGGTTTGAAGGGCTCAACCCCGAGGGTTTCCAATTACTGTTTTTGTTTTCGTTGTTGTTGGGGGTGGAGGGGTGGGACCAACCGAGCCTGATCACCTGGCTCCCTGACTCAGAGTCTTTTAAGTTGAACGACCCCGCGTTCGGGTCGCTTGTTGAAAAGGCGCCGGGATCTCCCGTGCTGCGACTCACGGAGTCGGCTCGAACTGCGGCGCCCGCTCCTGGCGGATTTTTTGCCTAGGAATCTCCTAGCCTGGCTCGCTATTTCAGATGAATGGGCTATTCTGCCGTCTCAGGGCTCTGATCGCCAGCTAAGAGGGCTCCCAGACCAGTGGCTTTTGTACGGAGAACCGCAGCAACAGGGCGTGGTCACAGCAGCCGCGCGGGCGGAATCAGCCCCACAGGGGCCAAAACAGCCGCACCGGCTGGGACTGCGACGCTGGCGACCCCTCTGCCTGGGTATCTCCTGGTCTGTGGGCAATAAGAGTTCGTCTGGAAATGCGGCGTCCACTCACCCTCTGCACTTTCACTGGGAGCTGAAGTCCTGAGCTGTTCTTAGGCGGCCATCTTCCCAGCATTCCCCGATTGTAGTAACTTTCTCCAGCTAAGAGACCGCAGACCACGGACTGGTTCTGGCTGGTTTACAGAGGCTGTGCACTTTATATCCCAGCTTCACCTTTTGATGTACAGGACCTAATTGTAATAAATTTAAATGTTAAGTCTCCACCCCAAGGTGAACATGGGTCCATAAGTAACATGCATGTTTGTTCAGCATGCATGCATTAGGGAATATTCATAGCTTCTCTGGGAACATGTTGAATATATGAAACTGGCCAACCCATTCAGCTCAAATGACTGCCTTACCCCTCCTTCCCTCAAAATACCTGCTTCTGGGTTTGACCAAAGGCTACATTTCCCAGTGTGTTAGGATGGCCACCCTGCAGGCTGTAGCTCTTTATAAGAAATAAAGTCTTTTCAAATTTGTATTGTGATTTTTCAATTAATACAGGCAAGATTAAAATAATGTAGCTCTTGCTGGATGCAGCGGCTCACACCTGTAATCCCAGCAGTTTAGGAGACTGAGGCAGGTGGATCCCTTGAGGTCACAAGTTCAAGATCAGTCTGGCCAACATAGCAAAATCCTGTCTTTACTAAAAATACAAAAATTAGCTGAGCGTAGCACTCACCTGTGATCCCAGCTACTCAGGAGGCTGAGGCACGAGAATCACTTGAACCAGGGAGACCAACATCATGCTACTGCCCTCCAGCCTGGGTGACAGAAGGAGACTCAGTCTCAAAAATAATAATAATAATAATGTAGCTCTTATATGATTAATTTATTCACATTTAGAATAATTTATGAAAACAAGATAATTATGCCACCTGCTATCACTTAATTATAATACTCCAGTGTTCTGTGCGGCTAACATTGTAAGTTATTTACAAAGCAAGAAATACAAAGGAAGACCTGATATTCCTTTGATATATGTGTGTGCATAAATCAAAAGAAGATATTCAGCCCTTCAGAATAATTAAACAAAATGAAGTATAATATCAGAATTAACTTTACTAATTTTATCAGACATCTTGAGTGAACTTTTCCTGTGAAAGAGAAAGATATATATTGCACAAACTGGTCAAGCACTTGTATCATTAAACATTTATAACAGAAAAGAAAATGAAGATCAACTGCTATTGGAATTAATAATTCATGATATGATTTGATAAGACTACCTTATCAGCTATCATACTGATCAGTGCACAGAGCATCTGAAGGAAATCGCATAAAGCTTTGTTGGCATTTTTATCTAGTATATCTTAAATAATTTGTTAGTCCCATAACAAATTCCAGTTTCCTTGAAAATAATCATTGTCAAGTTCTATCCATCCCTTTGGAGGCCCTTTTCTTTTCACAAAAGACATGTCTTGGGAATGTACTGAATAAAATGGTTTGCCTTAAATATCCAGAGGGAAAGACATCTTCGGGATTTAACGCCTGCCTTGCTTTCAAGAGGCTCTTGCTAGAAGCAAAGCTTTCTTCAACAATAAACTAGAGATGGAAGAGGTAAAATAACTTCGATTCCGCTATTCCTACTCCACAATATTTAATTCATAATATCCATTTGCAGGCCAATTCCTCCCAATAGGAATATGTACAAGAAAACGGAAGATAAATGGTAGGCAATTTTTCCCTGCTTCCCCTTTGATTATTAAAAGAGCCTTTTCAGAAGTCCATAACTCAACAGTGTCTCTTTGATGCCCCAGAGGTTTTGCCTCCCAGGGGCAATTCAGGGCAGGGTAAGGGTATAGACTTCTTTTGCAAAGCAAAAGAAGAACAGATTACAAGAGGTGCTTTGGAAAGAAGAACCTGTGTGAGCAACCAGGCCCACTCCGAGAAGGCTACACGTGAAGCCAAGGATCTAAAAATGGATTCCCGTAGAACTGTCCACTCTGCTCTTCCCACTTTGAAGACCACTAACGGCTGACCTCTTGCTTTAAGAATAATTCCTCAAAAGACTGGAAAAAAAGGCAGATAACAGCGGTCCCAACCGTTACTGACTTACTTTGAAACTTGGAGAACATTCCTTAGTGTCTTACTGTGCTAATCTGAAATTGGAATCAATATCTAGTTTCCTGTTTCCTTCTCATGGTATTTTGAGAATCAAACACTGTCAACAAAAGGAGTCAAAACCCTATGAAATATTTGAAGAGATTTATTCTGAGCCAAGTATGAGTGACAATGGCCTGTGACACAGCCCTCAGGAGGTCCTGAGAACACATGCCCAAGGTGACTAGGGTGCAGCTTGGTTTTGCATATTTTAGGGAGGCATGAGACATCAAAAACATTTAAGAAAGACACTGGCTTGGTTCAGAAAAGGCGGAACAACTCTGAGTGGGTTGTGGGATGGGAAGCTTTCAGGCTATAGGTAAATTTAAACATTTTCTGATCGACAATTGATTGAGTTTCTCTAAAGACCTGGGATCGGCCAGGCATGGTGGCTCATGCCTGTGATCCCAGCACTTTGGGAGGCCAAGGCGGGAGGATCATCTGAGGTCAGGAGTTCAAGACCAGTCTAACCAAAATGGAGAAACATGTCTCTACTAAAAATACAAAAAATAAGGGTGGCGCATGCCTGTAATCTCAGCTACTTGAGGCAGGAGAATTGCTTGAACCGGGGAGGTGGAGGTTGCAGTGAGCCGAGATCGTGCCTAGGCAACGAGAGTGAAACTCCATCTCAAAAAAACACAAATAAATAAAAATAAAATAAAGACGTGGGATCAATAGAAAGAAAATGTTCAGGTTAAGATAAAAGACTGTGGAGACCAAGATTCTTTTAAAGTCATATGGTGGCTGCCCTAAGAGAAACCTAAATGTTTCCTATTCAGACCTTTAAAAGGTGCTAGACTTTTACTTAATCTCTTCAGGATAGCGAGGGCCTGGAACAAAAAGATCTAACTATGTGAACAGAGATTCTTTACATGCACATTTCCCCCCACAGAGGACAGCTTTGCAGGGCCACTTCAAAATATGGCAAAGAAACAAGTTCTGGGGTAAAATATTTAGACTTTCTTCTTTGTTATGCCAGAGTCAGACTGGAAAGTAAGTTACAACATATAAGGTTATATAAAACCCATCTGATGAGAATTTATGGTTTGTATAGCATGACTCCCAGACCACTTAGGAATTTGGGCAAGAATAAAACATCAGAGGTTTTTTTTGTTTTGTTTTGAGATGGAGCCTTGCTCTGTTGCCCAGGCTGGAGTGCAGTGGCGCAGTCTTGGCTCACCACGACCTCTGCCTCCCAGGTTCAAGTGATTCTCCTGCCTCAGCCTCCCGAGTAGCTGGAACTGCATGCGTGTGCCACCATGCGCAGCTAATTTTTGTATTTTTAGTAGAGACAGGGTTTCACCATGTTGGCCAGCTGGTCTCGAACTCCTGATCTCGTAATCTGCCCACCTTAGCCTCCCAAAGTGCTGGGATTACAGGTGTGTGCCACCACACCCAGCCCAGAGTTTAGTCCTCAGCATGAAGAAGAGTTGTAAGTACTACTTAGGTTTTGAATAGCCCTTTTAACTTTCCCAAAGACTTTGCTGCCTGGATCTTCTGTTTCCCTCTCAACTGTCCCTCAAAGGCAAGTCTCACCCTTGTGCAACAGGTGTGGGTCACAGAGACCCAGGGAAAGACTTGCCAAAGATCACACAGCAAATAGGTGACCTGGTTGGGAATAGAACCTGCATTTACCTCCTTTCTCCAAATGCATCAGCACAAGAAAATACGGAGAAAACAATGAAAGCAAAACCTGAAGGAATCACCAGCAAATAAATGAAAAGTAGACTCAGGATGCATACTATATATAATATATAGTATTGTTTATGTCTATGTTTACCCTTGATCTTAGCCAAAAGGATAAGAAGTAATCGTATGTCTAAGTTTATAGTATATAAATTTTTTTTTTTTTTTTTTTTTGAGATGGAATCTCGCTCTGTCATCCAGGCTGCAGTGCAGTGGTGCGATCTTGGCTCACTGCAACCTCCGCCTCCCAGGTTCAAGCAACTCTCCTGCCTCAGCCTCCCAAGTAGCTGGGACTACAGGTGCACATCACCACACTCCGCTACTTTTTTCTATTTTAGTAGAAACAGGTTTCACCTTGTTGCCCAGGCTGGTCTCCAACTTCTGAGCTCTGGCAATCCGCCCACCTCGGCCTCCCAAAGTACTAGGATTACAGGTGTGAGCTACTGCACCCAGCCAAGAGTTTTTTAAATAATGTTCACAAAGTAAGAGAGGCCAATTAATATTCTTAGTTTATTCCAGCAAACTATGATTCACATATCTGAAGGGGGAAATAAAAACAAAACCTGCAGTTCCCAAAGGTAGTCTCCATCCTAAACTGCACCTCCTTCTGCACAGTCCAGTGACCTTTGACATGCGTTCTGCTTCCGAACCCACCTGTAAAATGATCTTCTCCTGAAAGGAGTGCCACTACCAAACAAGGACGTTCTAGACATAATCACGTTTCAGGAGATCTTTGTGCATGGTTTGTTTTTTGCTGTTTTTGCTTCGCTTAAAGCAGATTTTTAATTTAATTCCTTTAAGATAAAAGCTATTACAAAAGAGGTAAGATTTTTTTCCCCCTATTCCTCTTCTCCTGCCACCTAGTTCCTTTCCCCAGAGGTAATCAATGAGAAATCATTTAGAACATAAGATATGTTGTAATCCTGTACAGGCCACGGCAACAGGAAATAAACCATTCAGAGCTCCACTGGAGTCCAGGAAGTGTTTGGACATTGGGAAAAACAACAAGAAACCTTTGTTTTGTAAGACAGTGTGGAAAGTGAGGAGAACTGTGTACTCCAGGATCAAGGTAAAAACTGACAAGTCACATAGCATGAAAGAGAACGCAGGGACCAACATGGAGGAACCCCATCGCTATTAAAAATTCAAAATTAGGCCGGGCGCGGTGGCTCAAGCCTGTAATCCCAGCACTTTGGGAGGCCGAGGCGGGTGGATCATGAGGTCAAGAGATCGAGACCATCCTGGTCAACA